CTGGCTTGCATCCATAGATGCTTCTCAGGCAAATCCTGGGACGTCATTCTCCTGTTGTACTCGGCCTTGGTGAGGCCGCAGCTGGAGTACTGCATCTAGTTTTGGGCCCCACAATTCAAAAAGGATGTGGAGAAGCTTGAGAGAGTGCACAGGAGAGCCACGCACATGATCAGAGGTCAGGAAAACAGACCTTGTGATGAGAGGCTGAGAGCCATGGGACTCTTCAGCCTGGAAAAGCACAGGCTCGGGAGTGATCTGGTGGCCACCCATAAGTTTATCAGGCATGTTCACCAGGATCTGGGGGAACAATTATTCACCAGAGTGCCCCAAGGGATGACAAGATCGAACGGTTATAAACTGCTCCGCGACCAGTTCAGGCTGGACATAAGGAAGAACTTGTTTACTGTCCAAGCCCCCAAGGTTTGGAATAGACTGCTGCTGGAGGTGGTTCAAGCACCCACTTTGAATGCCTTCAAGACATGTGTGGATGTTTATCTTGCTGGGATCCTATGATCCCTGCTGACTTCCTGCCCCTGGGGCAGGGGGCTGGACTCGATGATCCTCCAGGGTCCCTTCCAGCCCAAATGTCTATGAAATCTATTAAATTAAAGGGGGGTGGGGGGATGACAAGGCTCCTTAGCTTTCATTTTGTTCATCCTTTTTCTCTCTCCCATCAACACAGAGCAGAAGCATCTATTGTTATGTAAAGCATTATTAAAAGAGACCTGGTGCAATTGATGAAGTTCAAGTGGCAGTCACTCATCACAAAAATTAGCAATAGGTGGACCAGACTTTTTGATAGAAATGGAGACTAAAACAGCATCTAAAACAGTTATATTTTTGGTATCTTTGCTGAACCTACAAGATCCCTTTAACTAACAGTATGACCATGCCAGGGGCGACACATAGTGGGTGCACACAAGTGCATGTGCACCCTGTGTGTGGCGGTGCACCCCCTACAGAAAGGCGTTGCTGACACTGTTGGTGGTGCCTGTAGACAGCAGCCGCTTGCCACCCCAACGTCAGTCTGCAGTCCCTACTGTTTACCGCCACTGCTGCTGGCAGTGGCTGCAGGTGGTCACTGACCCTTGGTCAGTGCTTGCCCGCCGCCCCCCCACACTGGCAACAGCGCCGCCGCCGGCTGCGGGAGCTCCACCACTTATCCCCACTGCCACTGGGGGCACGAGTCATTCATGGACCATGCAAAAGTGTAATCTGTTTCAACTGCTGATTTGTCTATGTTAACACAGGCTGGAACCTGAGCCTGAAGTCACATGGCTGACAAAATGCCTCATATCAATCTTACTATTTTCAAAATACCTAACTAGGCTCATCATATGTAAAATAGAGTATAGTATTGGGAAACATTACAATAGTTTAACAATATTATAAGCCTAAATCCTATTACATGAGTTTCCTTAAGACTTCTCTCTATAGACTCTCAGAATATATTAATGTATCAAATTAATTTTACTTACTTTAAAATTAATATGCAAAAGTCCATGCTAGATGTAACTGGATGATAGGTACTAGGTCTTAAAGAATCTTTTCTTAAACTAATAAAGCCATGATGAGATACAGGACAGGTCAATGGTATAGTCAAAGCAGACTGAACAAATGGCAACAAAAACTCTCATTAGCAAAACACAACAAATACAGACACTGTTAAATAAACGGAATTCCTCCTTTTTTGGCAAAGTATCTAAACCTTTGGATGATTTTTGGATCTCTTGTGGGACCACAATTAATAGGTAAGTCTGTAATGATTTTTTCCAACAAAAAGCAAATGGGGAAGGAGAAAAATGCTGGCCAGTAAAATGAAGAGAAAGTAAGAAAAGATATTTGTACCAGAATATCTACAGATCATCACTCTAAAGCTAATTGCTTTTAAATGTGTGTGTGTACTGTGTATTTTTTTAAGATACAGTATTCTTAGATTGTATAGCAATTCAATACAGGACATAGTTCCATCAGAGTTTGGCAAAAAGTTTGGGAATGCATCATAATTATTACTTGCCATTCACCTGATCAGTACATATTTTACAGTCTTGGAAGAGGAAAATATGCTTTGCATACAAATACTTGCCACAGAATATTAATCACATAAATGATTAGTGGCTATATAGCACTTGATAGAAACTCTGAAATATCTCATTAGAAATGTACCCAAAACCTAAAGGTAGTAACTTTTTTTTGTTTAATTAATAGGTAGATCATGATCTAGTTTAGATATGATAAAAAATTAGCTGATATCTCTTTCATTGTGAAACTGTAAAGCTATGTGCAACTAATCTAAAGCTATGTGCAACTAACCATTTAATTAGCAGTTTATACACTGGAAGCAGGCATTTGTTTAAAAAACAGAAAACTTAGCTTTGTCATCTGGCATTTGGACTGCAGTGTTATTTCATTCCTTGAGAAAATAGGTTGATCTATACTTGTAAACAGCAATGTACACAGAGAAGGGCTTCCTAATTCAAACCAGACAGAAACAGAGTAAAAAGGCATCTTAGCCCTTCTACCTAAGGGAGAAAATTCTTCCTCTGGAAAAAACTGCCCCTGGCAAATGTCTAAAGTTGTTCTGTCAAAAACTGTCCTTAAGAAAGCTAAACATAAATGATAGTGAACTTAACAGAAAGATCCTTCAGCAATATTCTTGTTGTTGCTCTAGTTTTGTCAGCATTTCACAACCTAAGAAGGGTTAGACTCGATTGGTACTTGGAGAAAAGACCCTCAAGGAGGATCCCAGAATGCCACATGAAGTGGTGCATTAACTTTGATGAGTGTCATTCTTAGTATGGTGTTAGGAGGTGCTGGAAGCCTGGCTTTCAAATGTGATTTAAAGAAAGGTGCCAACTGCTTGTGGTCATTGACGAGCACTTTCTTGGAGAACTGAAGATGTTATCCCTGATGCCACAATCAAATTCTAGTTGGAACAATTGCACAGGCTCTACCTAAATGGTCTTGCTGTTTCAAGTGATTTCATATTATTCTTCATTTTCAGGCTTATACTGTCACCAGTAATATTTGTATATAGCATCATAGTTCTGCCTAATTGTACCAAATACATAAAACAGTCCCGTCCTAAAACATTTACAACCTGGATCTGACCCCGCAAAAACTCCAGCAAGCTTGCTCAGACCCTACACTGTGCTAGACTGGAATATTCTAACAAGCAATATTTGATCTAGGACAATATTGGTAGGTTAAGGTAGTCTTCTGTTTGCCTTCTGTTGCCTCCTAGATGATTGAAGGTTTGTGTTTGCTTATTGATCAAAAGAATTAAAAGGGTTGTAAGGTTTCCTGGCAGTGTCTTCCATCATTCCAGCATGCAGGGGATACCAATGGAGAACTGACAGCTATAGGAACCAGAAAATATCTGTAACAAAGCACAAATGTTAGAAAACAAGGAAGTGCCCAGTTAACACAATGCCTTCTATCCCATACCTTTAGGTTGGGGGTGTCAAACTCATCTGGCCCCGTGGACAAACCTCCGTCCAAACATCCAGCACGTGGCACTCATTCTGCCCAGTCTTGCGACTGCACCACATAGCATAGGTCAGGGCCATTCCAAGACGTGTGCACTGCACGTCTGAGATATGCTCCATGTGGTGTCCACCGCAGAGCAGTCAACAGGGGAAGGGTAAGAAGTGTGCAGTGTGCATTCTGGATGGTCCCAGAATTGGTCTAATAAAAGATATCTGATTTACCCCAAAACTCTCGCCTGCCTTTGTGTTGTTTTTCTCCCATCTAAGGTTGCATCATCATGCAGTGAAAGGGAGTTTAAAGGGAAATTTGAGTGGTTGTTTTCCACAGACGCATCTTGGGACCTGGCCCCACTGGGACGTTCCCGGCCCGAGCCAAGGGCACCCCAGGGACGAAGGCTGCCTGGGTAAATCACAGAGGATGTCTAAAGAAGTTTCTCCCCGTTTCCACTCCGCACCCAACGACTTGCTGTTTCGGGGGGGGGGGGGGGGTCGTTGCCCCCCCCCCCAGGCTCGGGCTCCCTCGTCCCGAGCTCTCAAGCAGCTGCCTGGGGAAAGCCCGGGGGTCCCCGCTCTGCCTGGGGGGAGGGGCTGCTTCCCCGGGCGAAGCGCGGGAGATGGGGCCACGGCGCCGAGCAGGGCACGTGCCGCCCGGGAGAGGCGGGCCG